CTGCCCGGGAAGGTGGACCTGCGCAGCAGTCGGGCAGAAAAACAGGCAGATCTGTCTAGGCACCAGGAGTTACCCTGTGTTACAGTCACCCCGCTATGATAGGCCGCGTGAGCAGACCTTGGGCAGGGGGCACACGTGATCAAGGGGCATCAAGAGAGGGGGTGGACCATGGAGCACCCTCTCCATGGCTCCGACCACCCTCCCCCCAGCTGAGCGTCCCAGGGTCACCCCACCCTGGCCCCGCTCCCCGTCCTGCCGGACACGCAACCCCCACAACGTGGTGGGGGACGTGGGGATCCTTAGCAGCTTAGGCCTGCCAGGCCGACGGGTGCCGATGCTGGTGCGGGCTCCCGGCGGCAGGCAGCGCCGCCGCCGGGCACTCAAATGGCATGGGGCACATGGGCCCCCATGCCCGCACATCTCCCAGGCACATGAAAATACCAGAAGGCTGCACATGTAAGGGTGCATGCATTGCAGGCAGGAGTGCAAAGTGGCCTGCCGCGGCGGTCGGCTGTGCCATTACTCAGTCAGCCGCCGCTACCGTGCCGGGCTTGGCGTTCCCATGCCAACATGCCGGCGTGCCATCGCGCAAGGGGCCAGTGAGTGTGTGAGGCGGAGGTGGGGGTGGTGGGGCTGCCGACGACAAAGCACCAGGTGGGTTTTGGGGGTTGTTTGCAGCCAAACAACGAAGCAGTTGGGCAGGTGGGCGGCCTCAGCGTCATTCCCCACCCACCTGATAGCTGGTGCCGATCTCTGAATGATCTCTGGCAAAGGGGTAGAAGGCACCAAGCTCGATCCACCGCCCGCAGAGCTCCTCGGTTGTGTTTGAGGAGAAGCCACAGATGTCGGCGCCGACTGCGCTTGCAACACGAGAAGAGGGAGAGGTCAGAAAGCGCGTGAGCGCAAGTCCCCAGCCTATGCGCAGCCCCCATTTGCTCTCTTCCAGCAGCTTCAACCACATGGCCCCAACCCACCCATGGGGATGCCAACCATGCCAGCGGCAGCGAGGCCAGGAATGGACCACTGTAGGTCGGACCAGGAGGCGTTGTTGTCGCCCGTCCATTTTGCCGCGTAGGCACCGCTGCCCGGGAAGGTGGACCTGCGCAGCAGTCGGGCAGAAAAACAGGCAGATCTGTCTAGGCACCAGGAGTTACCCTGTGTTACAGTCACCCCGCTATGATAGGCCGCGTGAGCAGACCTTGGGCAGGGGGCACACGTGATCAAGGGGCATCAAGAGAGGGGGTGGACCAGGGAGCACCCTCTCCATGGCTCCGACCACCCTCCCCCCAGCTGAGCGTCCCAGGGTCACCCCACCCTGGCCCCGCTCCCCGTCCTGCCGGACACGCAACCCCCACAACGTGGTGGGGGACGTGGGGATCCTTAGCAGCTTAGGCCTGCCAGGCCGACGGGTGCCGATGCTGGTGCGGGCTCCCGGCGGCAGGCAGCGCCGCCGCCGGGCACTCAAATGGCATGGGGCACATGGGCCCCCATGCCCGCACATCTCCCAGGCACATGAAAATACCAGAAGGCTGCACATGTAAGGGTGCATGCATTGCAGGCAGGAGTGCAAAGTGGCCTGCCGCGGCGGTCGGCTGTGCCATTACTCAGTCAGCCGCCGCTACCGTGCCGGGCTTGGCGTTCCCATGCCAACATGCCGGCGTGCCATCGCGCAAGGGGCCAGTGAGTGTGTGAGGCGGAGGTGGGGGTGGTGGGGCTGCCGACGACAAAGCACCAGGTGGGTTTTGGGGGTTGTTTGCAGCCAAACAACGAAGCAGTTGGGCAGGTGGGCGGCCTCAGCGTCATTCCCCACCCACCTGATAGCTGGTGCCGATCTCTGAATGATCTCTGGCAAAGGGGTAGAAGGCACCAAGCTCGATCCACCGCCCGCAGAGCTCCTCGGTTGTGTTTGAGGAGAAGCCACAGATGTCGGCGCCGACTGCGCTTGCAACACGAGAAGAGGGAGCGGTCAGAAAGCGCGTGAGCGCAAGTCCCCAGCCTATGCGCAGCCCCCATTTGCTCTCTTCCAGCAGCTTCAACCACATGGCCCCAACCCACCCATGGGGATGCCAACCATGCCAGCGGCAGCGAGGCCAGGAATGGACCACTGTAGGTCGGACCAGGAGGCGTTGTTGTCGCCCGTCCATTTTGCCGCGTAGGCACCGCTGCCCGGGAAGGTGGACCTGCGCAGCAGTCGGGCAGAAAAACAGGCAGATCTGTCTAGGCACCAGGAGTTACCCTGTGTTACAGTCACCCCGCTATGATAGGCCGCGTGAGCAGACCTTGGGCAGGGGGCACACGTGATCAAGGGGCATCAAGAGAGGGGGTGGACCAGGGAGCACCCTCTCCATGGCTCCGACCACCCTCCCCCCAGCTGAGCGTCCCAGGGTCACCCCACCCTGGCCCCGCTCCCCGTCCTGCCGGACACGCAACCCCCACAACGTGGTGGGGGACGTGGGGATCCTTAGCAGCTTAGGCCTGCCAGGCCGACGGGTGCCGATGCTGGTGCGGGCTCCCGGCGGCAGGCAGCGCCGCCGCCGGGCACTCAAATGGCATGGGGCACATGGGCCCCCATGCCCGCACATCTCCCAGGCACATGAAAATACCAGAAGGCTGCACATGTAAGGGTGCATGCATTGCAGGCAGGAGTGCAAAGTGGCCTGCCGCGGCGGTCGGCTGTGCCATTACTCAGTCAGCCGCCGCTACCGTGCCGGGCTTGGCGTTCCCATGCCAACATGCCGGCGTGCCATCGCGCAAGGGGCCAGTGAGTGTGTGAGGCGGAGGTGGGGGTGGTGGGGCTGCCGACGACAATGCACCAGGTGGGTTTTGGGGGTTGTTGGCAGCCAAACAACGAAGCAGTTGGGCAGGTGGGCGGCCTCAGCGTCATCCCCACCCAC